CCCCCCAACACACTGCTGTGACCAAAGAAGACAAGAGGACACTTTCCATTCACCAGTTCTCAAAACTTTCGCACAAAATGAGCTGACAATACTTCACACAGCAAAAGGAGAAGTTCCCTTCAAGATGCAAAGAGACTGGGCTCCATTCAGACATACAATTCACACATTTAGTGCAAAAATAACATGAAAGTAAAAGCTCTGCATCTGGTGCAGGGACCAGTACAGCTGCCTGGGAAATAATTTGCCTCTCTCATCTCAGCCCAAATTGTTCCTCTGTTTGTTTTGCTGACGGCATTAGGAAAGTTGAGTTCAGCTGCAGCCCCTGAGAAGGACTTTAATGTGTCCCATGGACATTGCTGTGCTTTGCTTGTAACATTCTCTCCTCTATTCAACCTGTCACTGCTTTTTCCCTAAAAATAAGGTCCCTGCACCACACGGACCTTGAGCTGGGCCAAAATATTATTGTTTTAGAGTGTAGATGTGCACATTTCCAACCGAAGGGCTTCCAGTGTTCCTCTAATGGTACCAGCAGCTGAGATGACTTACCTCAGACAAAGGTGACAACAGCCCATTTCACAACTCAACCTGGGTAACAACCTGCTCCAAAGATCACTTCCATCACTTGAAATTTTTACTGATTTCAATTGGTTTCTAAGGGGACCATATCACCTATTTCATTATATACTTCATATTTAAATGCTTCCTTTCTTCCACATCCTGACTAAATAGGAATGAGGAGGCTACGATACTACAGCCTACTCTCAGAGGATGCAGACACCATTTATGGATAAATTTAGAGTCCTAAAAGTCAGAAATGCAACAGGAGCAGCTCTTTTTAAAGAGATTTTATTATCTGCGTGCCATCTGACATGGTCCTCTGGGAAAGGTGTCTGTCCTGCACTCCAGCTCGGAAATTTATTGGAGGTGATTTGTATTTCTCAAGGCTTGCACAGTTTAACTGCTGCTGTGCAAATGCAAGAAAAACTCACCACTGAAGGGCTGATGGTTATTGTAACTCACACCTCTTTCCCTGGGAGAGCTCAGCCCAACACACACTCCTGGTGCTGCCTCTGGCTCCAGTACACGGGGCTAGGGTATTTCCATGTGTTTCCATGAAAACATCACATTCTCGCACAAAATTCACAGGAATAAACTAACTGCTATTTCCAAATCAACCAGAGAAAGGAAGGGCCAGGTTATACTTCCCTGGGGAAAGCAGGGGCCTGGGATCAATCCCGGCCTGCCACACCCACTCCAGTACCAACCACACTACACACCAGTGTGGACACTCACTGAACCCCAGCTGTGAACATACCTTCAGCTTTCCAGGACTTGCTTATCCCAAGATTGTTCTATTACCACAGGAGCTCCAAACGCTCCTCTATTGGACCCCGGAAATTCATCTCTCACTAGACTCTGATCTTCCTAAAACATCCAAACTTTCAGACCAATTTTCCCAGGAATAATTCAATGCTAAAATCCCAGTAATTTTAAAACTACTTGGCATGTCTGCTCACCTCTGGACACATTATGGGAAAGAGCACTGAAAATAAAATTCTCTTCCCTAAGACATTTATTGACTTCTTAACTCAGGCTCATACAAGAAATGAAGCAGCTAAAAAGGATCCATGAGCAGTACAACTGTTTAACCTAATTTCTCAATAATAACATAAAACATGGAGCAGTAATGGCAACAGTGGCTTCTGACATGTAACAAATAAATCAGTAATGAGCATCTAAAATACCCAGAGAAAGCTTCTGGAAGACATTGCTCTGAAGATGCTCAGATCAGTACCCTCAATGTGTTTCTCTCAACACAGGTATCTATTTCCTCATAATTATCTAGGAAAAAAATGGGCTTGGATTTTCAGACATGCAGCGTAAAAAGAAGGGCAACATGCAATTTACTAACGAAAATGTGGGCCAAGAAGTTTTGCCACTATTCCAAGATAAGGCAATTGAGAGGTAGAAACGTATCTCAAAAGTTATTTACGGCTCATGGCACTGGAATTCACATCCCTGCCTCGAACAATGGAATTTACCAATCAACAGCATTGCCACAATCTGAACTGTCACTTGAAAGATAATTTTGTTATCACTTCCAGCATTCACTTTTCACACAAAACCCTTTGTCTTCTTGAGAAAAAAACATATTTTATACAGCAGCTCATACAATCCTGTTTGGAAAGCAGAAAGATAATTCTTTTGGGGATCTAAAGCTGTACAATACACGTGTTTTCTACTGCTGGAAGAAGAAACAGAGAGATGGTGGCATTGTCTTCGACCTAAACTACGACAACAGTGATCAAAGCACTGGCATGATCACCTCCAACACCCTCAAAAGTTAATGAGGCATCTCATTAACTTCAGAGAGGTAGTTGTAGATAATTATTCAGACAGGGCTGTCCAAAAAGTCCTATATGAGGTACGCTGGGGGACAGCACAGCCCAACTGTGGTTACACATCGCACACAATGCTGTGACTGTGGAAACATTTCGGCAGATGAGGTTTTTTGGGGACTAGCACAGGGCTCCAGAGCTGACACAGTGGGAGCACCATGGCCTCCGCTTTTAATCCATAGATCTGAGATATGAACACGGAATACAGTTAATTCAGTCCTGTCTCAATGCAATGACACGAATGCGATACGGATGGCCACAAAGATCAGGGGCAGAGACGATGGGGGACTTGGAAAAGCCAAAAGCTTAAGTAGTTGCAGAACTAAGCGTGTTTAATTCGGTTAATCCAGAGGTCTGCACAGCAGCGACGGAGAAGCAATGTCCTCACACCGAAGTGGGCAAAGCTGCAGAGAGGGAACAGCAGAGGAAAGAGTATGAGGGAACCACCTCAGCTGGGAAAGGTGTGAGGGCAGACACATCCACAGCTGCCTGTCCTTGTGTCTGAAACCTCTGCTGAGAGAACGCGGGCACATTTTTAGAAAGCAAGCAGCACTTCAGGCCACGGCTGAGGAGGGGAAAGCAACGCACAGAGTAGGGCGGCCTGAGGAGAAGGTCCCGCCCGCTCGCCCCCCCAGCCCGCGGCGCTGTCCCGGCTGTACCCGGCCCCTCTTCACCTCCTCGGCCCGGCCCCGACCTGCCGCCGGCCCGAGAACCGAGCACCGAGAACCCGCCATCACGTTCCGGCCGCTGCCGCCGCCCGCCCCTTCCTGCCCGGCTCGGCCTGGCCCGCCCTTCCCGCCGCTTCTGCGCCATGGGCGTAAAGGGGTGCGTAGTGTAGAGGGAACTGCGCTGGGATGAGGGGATGGAGGGGGCCGAGGGGATGCAGGAGGAAGAAGAGTGCAGGGGGCCGAGGGGATGCAGGGGGATGAAGGGTGCAGGGGGCCGAGGGGATGGTCAGGGATGAGGGAATGGACAGGGATGAGGGGATGAAGTGGGCCGAGGGGATGGAGGGGGATGAGGACATAGAGGGGGCTGAGGTGATGGTGAAGGACTGGGGTGTGGCAGGGGCTGAGGGGATGCTGCCTGGGCCCATTTCTCATTATGATTCTTTCAGGCTAGATTATGTTACCTAGTTACTAGCTGAAATTTGGAGCCAGCTAGGTAAGGTAAGGAGGGCAAGGGAACTTGGAGTTGAACCTTCCTTGACAAAAAGACCACCATGACTTAAACCTGAGTACAAGCAAATCGTTTACATTTTGGAATAGGAGTATAATTCCATTGGCCTTTTCTCCGTAAATGTTGCAGTTGAACTGCTGAAGAAAGGCTTGGAAGGTGTTGATCCCTAACTGTGTGGATCCATAGGAATTCTTTCAGAGGGCCAGCCTCTCCCTGGAAATCACAGAGCATCCATGCTGCCTTCCCACTGCTGTACACTGCCTTGAGGGAAGCCCTTTCCTGTTTGACTTTTCTTTGGGCTCTGTAGAAATTAGTGTAATAAAACTGAACACACCCTTTCAGAAGGGCAGAGTGAAACATAAGAAACAGATTTTACTGATCATGTTCATTCTCTGGTTTCATTTCTTCACACCCGCGTGCTGCTGACACACATAGGCTGGCGGGATCCTTTGTGAGTGATACAGAGGACAAGGGACACTGCTGATAAAATATTCGTTATGTTTGTTGACTGATGGTGGCAAACTGATCCTGGATGTGATGTTTAAACCCTTCTGGAGTTGGTGTTGTTTGATATCTTGCTTGGCCTCCTCCCCTCTTAGGCAAAATTCCCCCTTTTTAAAATTCTTTTATTTTTAATTTATATTATTTAATAGTTCTAGTGCAGTTTGTCATCTTGAGGACAGTCTGGGCTGAAAGACTTGCCCACGGTTTCTGAAATTATTTTCAGTGTAGCTAAATATCTGATCCAGTCTTTATACTTGGAATAATATGGTATGTGGGTTTAAAACTACCTGCCTTTTCCCAATGGAAAAGCTTTTTTCCGGTTGGTTACTAGCAAATGTCATATGTACTCTGCAATAAGCCTGTTGCTGTCCAAACAGATGAGAAAACCCAAAAGATTTATTTCCCCCGGAGGTTCGTGTTCTTAGGCAGAAAACAAACTTGTGTTTTCCAAGACTTTAGGAGGACAAGAGGTCCTACCCTCTTAGTCTAATCTGTTTTATCTGCTGTGAGACACTATGTATATTTATATACTGAGCAACTGCAGGACATCAGTTTCCATTCTTATCAAACACAAATATTTACCTGATCCAAGGTCTGCTGAGATCCATGGCACTTTAAAAAATGCAGCTTAACTAGAGAAATCTCCTATTTTTTTCCCAGTTTAATTTTAGTTGGGTTTCAGGGTATTTTCTTAGCAACTAAACATTTTTTTAAATTAAAGCAACAAACTGACACATTATTGCTTTGCTTTACTCACCGCCTCAGCTGTGCAGACTCCCTAATACGCTTTCTCAGCTGCAATTTCTGTCAATGAGGAAAATGGGAATTGTTTTGACATTAATTGTCAGTGAGGAATTGAAACACAGAAATCAATTAGCAATTAATATTTTTTAAATTTAATGGAGACAATCCATATAAAAACATCACATGTGGTATGACACAGCAGTTGATGGATTTCTGTTTATCTCTGTGAGCATCTCCAAGGGCAGCGTGGTATTTCATGTAAGAGGGGGCAAGAAGAGAGGTGGTGCAGGGATCCAGATAAAGGAATTCAGGTGAGAGGAACTATTTCTGTGGGGAACTGGGAGGATTGCAAGGTTTTTTGCCCTTTGCAAGCCACAGATCAAGGTTAGGAGTGTTAGTTTTGCCGCTTCCTCTCACAATTTTGGGTATCAACTGACATCCCCTTGTCCCAGTCCCTTTCCCATCCCTGCCAGCAACCCTTGGGCAGTGATAGGGATTAAAGTGGTAATCTGGGTTAAAGCTACTCTCTTCTAAAAACCCACTCCCTGATTTAGCAGCCTTATTTCCCCACTTTGTCCCGAGAAAAGGTGTACTTGTGTTCAGAGAGCAGGAAAACACAACCATATGCTGTTCCAGGACATTACCTCCCGGGTGTTCCAGATAATATCCTGCAAGGCTAATCAGGAGAGGACACGAACAAGAACAAAGTGGCAAAAGCAAACCAACAGGATTTTTAGCCTGGGATAAAAATCCTGTTAAAAACACATAAATATCAACATATAAATAGTTGAGTTTTGTTTCCAGTAATGAGATTTAACAAGACTGTGCCTTGGCATTGAGCCAGCCTAGCGAGCTGCTGAATTTATTCTGTGAATGATTGTCTTTAAGTCCATAATTCACTGGCATGCCCAACCTGCAGCTCTGCAGGCAGGGCCAGTCCGTTACCTCCAGGACACACTCGTTAATTAATTGTTTCAGGCAACAGTAACGACATGGGTCTCCTTGTCACAGGAGGTGGGCAAGTCCCTCTTGCACCTCCAGTGGAATTTAGGAGTGCAGCAAAGCACCACGGACATGACCAACCCCAGAGTAAGCAGGAGACAAATCACCCATTTGACCCTTCCCAAGTACATAAAGGGGAGGATGAGGATGGCGAGGATCACGCCGAGCAGCAGGAGCAGTACAAGTCTCTGCACAGCCAGGCTGGTGTCTGCTGGAACATTCTCCTCTATGTTTAAAATGTCTTGGCTGCTCTGAGTCCAGCTCTTGCTGTCCAGCCCCATGGCAGGGATGTGCACCTCTGGGTCTGACTCGAGGTTTTCCAAGTGCTCCAAGATGTCTTCTTTATTCTGGAGTGTGCGGATGAGCCCTTCTGACACAAAAGTGGGTTTTCTGCACAGAGGGCAGGTGATGATCCAGGTATTCTCCACTTTCCTGAGAATAAGCTTGAGGCAGACAGCACAGAAGGCGTGCTGGCAGTCCAGGAGCTTTGGGACTCTGTAGATGTTGTACTTGTTGAAGCAGATCAGGCAATCCAAGTCCATGGATGTGGTTGAACACTGGTGGTTCATTTCCAATGTGCAAGTTTTGGGACAGTCTGTGTTCGTTAGCACAACAAGAGGCTTTGAGTGTGGAGAGTCTCTTTCCAAAATTGCTGGTTTGAAGGCAGCATGACTGTCTAGCTCTGTGCCTGAAGGCCTCTCCATTTCTTTAATACACTCTTCAGTGAATCCCAGTCTCTTCCCTTGATTTGTATTCTGTGTTAGGGGTCCTGCCCTGCTCATTTCTGCAGCACCTCCTGCCGCAGGCGCAGGACCGTCCTCCTCAGCCTGCAGTACTTCCTTGTTTGGCTTGTCCGTGGATTTCTCCATGGAGATACACCTCCCTGCAGCTTGTCTTCCCCTGGCTAAAGGATTTCGCTAGTCTCTGGCTCCTTTTATGTGTTGCTGTATTCCTGCTGTATGCAGGATTGATTAGTGACAGCCTTAAGTGAGTCGTGCTCTTACAATATGATGTTTTTATGAGATGGGGACCTGAGTTAATCATTAACTTCCCAGCCAAGACAGTTTACAATGACTGATAACATCACTGGGCAATTCCTGTCCGGAAGCAGACTCCATGGCATAGCTGTGACAGCCAGGCACTACCGTTATTATTAAATTAGAAATTAGAACTTTCTTTGTTGAAAGCATTTTCATTGGTCTCTAAACAGTGCTTTGCTGGACAGTTACAGATTTAGGGGAATTATCTACTACTGACGTTGGTATGCTGAATGCAGTGCTTTGATTAGAGCATAAGTATCACCAATTTTGAGTGCTCTGGATAGGAAATTTGCTCTTGGTTTAGCAATACTGACTACCCTACAGCACCAAGAGAAGAATGAGATTGAGATTATTAATGTGAGTGATGAATGTCCAATAATTATCAAGACATTGTAATGTCTCTTATCCTAGTTGGTTTCAGTCATCAGAGGGCTTCCAGTGCAAACTGAAGCATGACCGAGGCCCACAGAGGATCTCAGAGATCCATGAGAGAGATCTGGAAATTAAAAGCAAGGTTAGTGTCTTGGTGGGACCATCTTCTTTCTTGTGGTGTTCACAGGACAACCTCATGCACTCAGGAGTGCCCTTCCTGAGTGGTTTTGTGAATATTCATCTTATCTGACGAATTTTTTTCTTGTATGAAAAAAATGCCTGAACAAAATCCCTCCGTCTCTAATTTCTTTCTGCCTTTTTATTTGAGGGGTAAAATCCAAGTGTTTTCTCGTCAAGAATCCTGTGGCAGAATGGAGCAAAGGAAATAAGGAAGGAAAGGAAGGATCTCTAATCCCAAAAAGATGGACTAGGTCAGTCTTACCAGCAGAAGACATGGAGTACCACTCTAGTAGCCTCAAGTGCACCTGAATGCTCAAACTGTCTGTGCCACCATGTCCCAGCCCCTCTCTCCCACAGAGGAGCAACAGAAAGAAATGAAACAACTGCAGTTGAGGAGGGCAAGGAGTTCAGGACGGCTCTAATCTCCTGAACTTGTTGGTGGGGGGATGAGGTGAGAAGCGCTTGTTCTTATTAGCTGAGAAATAGAAGCTTTGTCGTAAGCAAACTTCGTCAAAGTGCCTGAGCACTCCTGCTTGTGTTTCTGCTGACATGGCCTGTAGTGGTGCTTGATGGACTTTTGGGTGACCCCGGATTTTAGGAGCCTGGAGATCTTTCAGCTGCAGAAGTGGGACTCAAAGTGCAGTAACATCCGCAAGTGGGCTGGTGAACTGCAAGACTCATGTTTAAAAACAGGATAATTTTCTATTGCATTTCACATTCCGTGCTGTTAAAAAGATCTGGGAAAGTGGAAGACAGACCTGCCGTTATTACAGTGCTTTAGAAACTTCAAATTTACTCTGTCAGTTCCCATGTCCAAAGAGGAAAATGTCTTAAAATTTCTTAATTATTAAAACAATATGAAACCATCTTGCAGAGGTTGGAAGCTTAAACAGACAGCAAGAAGGACACCTATGCTCCTAAATTAGAAATTTTAAAACTAGGTGGGATGAATCCATGCTCCATGTCTGTTTGCTCTGTGTCCTATTAATGGGTGGGGGTGACTTGTCTGTGCCTTCTGTCTGATGTGCTGAAAAAATAGTTTCTTGTTGTCCTGCACTGGCAAAGTTTTCAGCCAAGCCCTGATTCTGGCTCCGCTTTGTCTCCACTGTCACGAGTGATGCTCCCTGGCTGGCATGTGCCTTGTGCTTATCTGAATTGCCCACAACCCTTTAATGCTCCTCAGGCTAATTACTGCCTCATTAATCATTTGCAGTCAGTTTATGTACTCATCCTGTTTTCCTGCTTTCAGTGTGTTTGCATAAGAAAATGTGTTTCTATGAAATGCTTTGTACAGAATTGTTTATGGCAGGAAATAGATATAAAAGAGCAGTTGTGTCATTCCTGAGTGAAATCCTCACATGCCTGTAGGCCAAACATCCCAGAAGGTACTGGTGATAACTGCTGTGAGCTTCTACCTGTGCTGAGTTGTGGGTCAGGTTGTTGTGACTCTGGAGAAAAGGGACTTAAAAATAATATACAACTTTAAAATCATCATGATGTGAAGCCTCTTCTTGTATCCTCAGGACTGTTTTCTTAGTGTTTATCACAAAGCCATTTGGATGTGCCTTCTGAGCTTGGAATTAGACAGAAATTCATAGAATCACAGAATCCCAGGATAGTTTGGATTTGAAGGGACCTTAAAGCTCATCCCATTCCACCCCGTGCCTTGGGCAGCGACACCTTCCACTAGCCCAGGTTGCTCCAGGCCCCAACCAACCTGGCCTTGGACACTTCCAGGGATGGGGCAGCCACAGCTTCTCTGGGAATTCCATCTCCCTCAGCACCCTCACAGTGAAGAATTTGATCCTAATATCCAACCTAAACCTACTCTGTCAGTTTGAAGCCATTCCCCCTTGTCCTGTCATTCCAGGCCCTTGTAAACAGTCTCTCTCGATCTTTCTTGTCAGCTCCTTCAGGTCCCGGAAGGCCACAATTAGGTAACCCCGGAGCCTACTCTTCTCCAGGTTTTCTCATGAGAGAAGTGCTCCTCTGACCACCTTGGTGGGCTCCTCTAGACTTGGGCAATATCAGACCCCTTCTGTTGCGATACTGGCAGAGAAAAGCAGGGCAAGGAAGACTAGAATCGTGGGGCAGAGCCTTGATGGGTGCTGGTGGTGGGTGACTTAAACCAGTTGCTGTGGGACGAGTGGAAGAGCTGTGGTGTCAAGGATGGCAGGGAATCCTCCCCAAGAGCCCTACTCTGGACAAGTCATCAGTGTTCTTGCTGTGCCCCTTCTCCAGCCCCCTCTGAGGAGTTTCCCTCAGCGCCTGAGGAAACAAGACGTGAAGGTTCAGTTTATGAGCTTTATCACATCTAATTAATAGTTGCAGTCTTAGCTGTCCCGACCTGCTGCTGCTCTCAGCCGTGTTCTCCTGGTGCCACCTCGTGGGTAATCCATTCTCTCACCCCCTTAATCTCCTCTTAGTTCGCTTCGGAGCGGTGATCTGAGGTTGAACAGACACAGTCCGGAGCGGTTCGTCCTGGCTTATAACGGGGGCAGAAGGCGCCCACCCGTGTGGTCACGGCAGGACTTCTCGGTGAGGGGCGGGAGCTCTGCTGGGCAGCAGGGAGAGGCATTAGTGCAATTAGCAGTAGAAGCTAATTAGCTGGAATCTGGCAGCCTTGGGCACAGTGTTAGTGATCTGCGGTGCTGCTTCTCGCAGCCCTCCCCGGCTTTTCCCCGCGGATGCACTGCTCCCGAGGCTCGGCTGCACCCTCCTTCCCTTCGCAATTCCCACCCTGTGATTCCCAGCTCCAGTTTCCCTCCAGGGCCCCCTCCTCTGCTCTTCCTCCTTCTGCAGGAATCCCCCGGGATGGCCGGTCACGTGCCCTGCTCCGCGTGCCGTGGTCACGCGACTCTCCCGATGTCGCCACCACGTGACCTCCGCCGGTGCCGCGGTCACGTGACGCTCCCGGTGTCGCGGTCACGTGCCCGCTCCCGGCGCCCCGTCTGGGATGTCCCGCAAACAGGCGGCCAAGGCCCGGCCCGCCGGGGCCAGGAAGGGCCGACGGCCCCGCAACCCCCCCGCCGGATCGGCCCCGGGCCCTGCACCGGGCGGCGGCGGCGGCGGCGGCGGCCTCGCCGGGCAGCTCCGGGCCCTCGGCCTCAAGCTGCGGGAGGTGCCGGGCGATGGGTGAGCGCCGCGACAGGTCTCCCCGGCACCCCCGGGGCCGGCGATTCCCCGGGGCTCCAGCCCCCGGAGGCAGAGGGCTTCCTCCTTCCCGGTTGTGGGGGATCTGTGTTCTCGGGGGCCGAGGGCTTTCACCTCCCGGGTAGAGGGAACCGTGTGACCCCCGGGGGCTGGGGATTCGTCCCCCCAGGGGTGGGGAGTCTGCATCCTCCCGGGCGCTGAGGGCCATCTTCGCCTGATTTGCGGCGGGGATGGGGGGGCCAGTGCTCTGCAGGGTTGAGAACTTCCCCACTGAACCCTACAAGGATCAGGGGGCTCTGCTCTGCTCCATGTTTCTGTAGAGCCTGAGGACCCTGCCAGTCCCAGCCCTGTTCCCCAGGAGAGCTAAGGGCTCCACGGACCAGCTGTGCAGAGCATAGGACGGTCCATAAGTGATTGGGTGAAAGGAGCATCAGATGTTTCTGCTGAGAAATGGCTCAGCAGGTCGTTGGTTTGCCCTTTGTTGCATTATGTCACTTGTCCCAGTGTCAGTTTAAGACAGTTTGGCCCACCCACCCACCTAGCACTTTTACCACCTCTGATGACGTGATCACTCTTACCAGCCATTGCAGTAGCAGAAGCTGTTCAAGTACAGAGAATAGGTGCTGTTTCATATTCATATCCTTGATAAACAAACTGGGCATAGCTCTCTTTTCCCTTTAAAACCATATTCCTTTTGCACCGGGTGTTTGTTTAATGCTGTGCCTCAGACATGCCAACTTGTGGTTTCTCTTTTGACAGCAACTGCTTGTTTCGGGCCCTGGGTGACCAGCTTGAGGGGCACTCCAGGAACCACCTGAGGCATCGGCAGGAAACAGTGGATTACATGGTGAAGCGGAGGGAGGACTTTGAGCCATTTGTGGAGGATGATGTGCCCTTTGAGAAACACGGTATGGGCTCCACAGAGCACGCATGGGAGGGCTTATTGTGTAGTGGGATTCCATCTCCTTGGATCACCTTCTTACTCACCAGTTTCTCATCCCAGAACTATGTCAGGGCTCCTCTCTGGTTTTTACAAATCCTTTGCATTTCTGTCTCTGTCAATGCTGTAGAAAGATGAGCTGTTAAACTTGCATTAAATTTGTCTTGGAAATTGTTTAAATTTAGGAGAAACTTGGAGAAGGAATGAGAGGCAAAAAAAGGAAGGAGTAAAAAAAAATTTAGTGTTTGCAAAAGGAACTTCAGAAAAATTGTCTAGTTCTCCTTGAATGCTCATGGGTATTTGGCTGTTTTGGTAAGTGACTGATTTCTTTGGGTTTCATTCTCCTTGGCACTTAATGTTTCATACTGGGAATCCAGGGGAAGACCCAAAGCAGAGGTGAATACAGCCTTTGTCCCACCAGCTTTGAGGATGTGCCAGGTACTATGCAAGTGATGCATGGAAGTGGTTTGGTCACTTAGTACGTGGCACTCTTCCTTCTGAGCTAACAGAGACAGGGGCCTTGCTTAGTCTAAGGGTGTGCTGCTTTTTTTTAGAGATTTCTGTGATCATTTAAGTGCATTAACTTCTGTTGCTGCCAAAGTCTTGCCTGAACACTCACTGTTTCACAGGTGGGATTTCCTTTCCAGAATTTATTGTGCTCGTGTTGAAATTTCACTACTTGTTATCCCTCCAGTGCTTTTGGAAGTGTCAGAAACTAGGTTTCTAACTCTTCTAAATGTTTTTTTCCTTTAGTTACCAATCTGGCCAAGCCTGGGACCTTTGCTGGCAATGATGCTATTGTGGCCTTTGCAAGGAACAATCAAATCAATGTGGTTATTCATCAGCTCTATGCTCCACTGTGGCAGGTGAGAAAAAACATTTCTACATTTTGGCCTCATTTTTCGCTGATGAATATAAACAGTGTGAAAACTTCCTGATCTGTCAAAACCGAGCAGTAGCTGTAGTTAGCTGGGCATGATTTAGATCTGCAGCTTTTACTTACGGTCCAGCATATTCATAGAACCACAGAATGCTTTGGGTTGGAAGGGACCATAAACCCCCTGCCATGGGCAGGGACACCTTCCACTAGTCCAGGTTGCTCCAAGCCCTGTCCATCTGGGCCTTGGACACTTCCAGGGATGGGGCAGCCACAGCTTCTCTGGGCAACCTGTGCCAGGGCCTGCCCACCCTCACAGGGAGGAATTCCTTCCCAATATCCCATCTAACCCTGCCCTCTGGCAGTTTGAAGCCATTCTCCCTTGTCCTGACACTTCAGGCCTTGTCCAAAGTCTCTCCATCTTATTTGTTGGCTCCTTCAGGTACTGGGAGGCCACAATTAGGTCACTCAGGAGTCTTCTCTTCTCCAGGCTGAACAATCCCAGCTCTCTCAGCCTTTCCTCATGGGAGAGCTGCTCCATCCTTCTGATTATCTTGGTGGACTCCTCTGGACTTGCTCCAGAGTGGAGAGAGCTTCTCTAATGAGAGCTAAATTGGCTAATTTGCAGAATAATCTTTCAAGAGCTTTGGGATTTGTTAGATACCTATTCAAGCACTGACAGAGGAAAAGAAAGCTTACTGAATTCCAACATGTTGAATAACCTAATAGGATAAAAAGCAGGAGTTAATAGAACCAAGTGTTGAGTTGGAATCTAAAAGTAAGTGTGAAATAGATGAATGGAGAATTATTGTTGGGAAACCTGAAGTTATGAGTGCAGCACAAACCACAGACAGGGTTGAAAGGTGACTTGGTGCATGGTCTGGGAGTGGAGATAAGGCGATTCATAGACATAAAAGGGTTGAGAAACTCTGTAGCCTTAAAGCAAAGCAGTTCTTGTCCTTTGCTTACTGACATCTGCTCCAGGAGAGCTGTCAGGCCTGTGAACTCAGGCTGACACGTCAAGCCAAGGAGGTTTGCAAGTGCAGTGGGATTTTCTGCATTCCTGGCAGGAGCTGGAATGCTGGGTAGCTCTTAGCTAACAGTTTGATGATCAGGGTAGGAATTATTCTTGCTGTCAGTGCAGATAATATCAGAGCAGGAGTTTTCTGTGGAAACTGCTGTATTTGGTGCTGACAAAGCCAAGGGACATTTGATTGTTAACAGTGTTCCTGAGTAGAGTTAATACATTTTTATGGAGTGGCTTTCTTTTAAAAACAAAACACAGCCACTTGGAATCCTGTTAAAAAAGCATCTTGTCCCAGCTGCAGATCAAAACTTATTCTGGGTAACTGTTTCCACTGTGGTCATCACTTGAATGGACTCTCTTTCCTCATGTTTCAGGGGAGAATGATACTGTACATTCCCTAGGAGCATTGCTGAAGTTGGATGTGGGAAGATGGTCGTAAAAGTGATAGCTGCTGTGGAAAGTTTAGGAAATAGTTCTGAGCTTTCCACAGAAATATCTTCATCCCACGTTTTGTTTGTTATACAACTGACCAACGTTAAGTATCTGGCTTTCAAACCTTCTCCTTGAGGCAGAAGCTCTGTTGTTAATGGAGACATAGCTGAATTTTTAGGTCAACTCTTCCTGTTTATAAAACTTCGGTAGTGACGTACTCACTTCCTGCCCAAGAAAATTAATACTTGGACAAATCCGATGCTGAGGTTGATTCCAAATCCTCATTTGCAGTTTATTTCTTTTGTGTAGATCCGGGGCACAGACAAGAGCAATGTGAGGGAGCTGCACATTGCTTATCGTTACGGGGAGCACTATGACAGCGTGAGGAGGATCAACGATGACTCAGAAGCTCCGGCATATCTTCAGATGGAGGTTGGTTGTCACAGAATTGCCTGAGCCAGCTGTGGGTGATAAATAAAGCTGATGAATGTTGGCAGTTGATTTCCTTTCTCACTTGTCTTGGGATTGAGGGGAAGAGTGTAGTCCCTGTGTCATGCTGGGTTAGCAAAGCCCTGAGGTCGTTGTAGCTCCTGCCACCAGCTCTCCTGAGAAAGGCTGTGAAGGATTCCAACTTCTGGCCTGGAAATCAATCCCAAACCTAATGCTGTGGTGTGGGCTGTCTGGAAGCAACCACATCTAAATTACATATTCATGCACCTCAAGTGGGAAAACAAAAGGAAGGGAGGAAAGAGCTGGAAATGCAACATCTGGATGCAGTTGTCCTCTTCATATGTCACTTTTTGATCATGTGCTGTGCTTGAGGGTCTCTGCACACAGGTATATGATTGTATCGTATTAAAATTAGCCCATTTATAAGCTTGTTTATTGGCATTCATGGTGATGCAGTACATGAGAGTAGTGCAGGAGAGAGGGGAAACCTCCAGTGATGATGGAAGTTACGATATTTCCAAAATGCTTTGACACACAATGTTTCTGAGAAAAGTGTTCAATAATAATTACATTTATTAGATATTTTTTTTGATTGCATGCTGTGTTATCTGCTGGGCTTTGCTTTTCTTCAGATGCTTTGCAAAAACAATGCAAATAAGACAGAGGAAGTGGAGCCACAGAAGGGTGATTCTGAGGATGAGACCGAAGCGGAAATGGAAAATGCTGTACAAAAAGTGTGCAATGCAACAGGGTGTTCAGTAAGTACTGAGGAGCCTTTTTGTGCTTAATGTTCAAATGTCCTTGATACATGAAAGTAGTCCTGGGAAAAATTCTAAAAAATGCTCACCTTGAACAATTTCAGTACCACAGCCCTAAACTAGGATGGATTTCATCCTAGAGTCAACCCTTAAATGCAGATGAAATACCTACTCTCTGTGGATACCTAATAATTCTGGAAAGCTTGTCTTGCAATCTGTCAGAAAATTCACTTGGAAACAAATCCCGTAAGATTTGAAATAATTTGAGGATGTTGAATATCCCACATAACTGGATAATCTGTGACTCTTGGCTGTTGTTACTGTGCAAATGCTTAGAACAGAAAGGGCCAAGAGTGAAACAATTATGCTGAAAGAGCATATTCCTTTTTCTTGATATCTTCAGGAATTTAAGGGTTCCCCCCTCACCTTTTTCAGAAATGAAGCATTAATTGAACAATCATAAAAGCAGGAGCCCCCTCTCTGTGGTGCAGGTGGTTGTTAAGTGAATGTGTGTCAGAGATTTGAACTCTTTCAGTGTTCTCCTTCTCTTGTGGACAGGACATGGATTTAGTAAGCCACGTCCTGGAAGCAGAGGATTACAACACAGAATCTGCAATATTTGCCATCTTACAAGTGAAGGAAGGAGAAGGAACAAGTGAGTTCTCAGAGTTTGTCACCTGGGGCTTCAGGTGAACGTGATGTCCATGTTCCCTGGGGACAGCAGCAGGACAGATGAGGTTTGCTGTTGTGTGCTCCCACTTCAGCCTTCTGTGCTCAGGAAGGTTGTTAGTGAGGGCAGCCTCAATCCAGCTTCCAAAAAAACCCACTGCTCCAGAAATTCAGGAAGAAGGAGTTGGCTGACGGCGCGACAGCTCCTGGGTAGAGTGTCTGAGGAAAACCTGTTGTTGGTAGGTACCGAGGAGCAGCAGAAACCCCAGAGCAGGGATCAGAAATCCTGCAGCAAAACACTGTGGGAGGAGAATGGAAGCGGTTCAAGAATCTTTGGAAATCAGAGCTTGGATCAAAGTGAAACAGGAAACAACAAAGGACAGGCTGGATCCAGTGGAGAGAACCAAGCCAGCAGGAACCCACAGGTGTGTGTGAGGGGGATTTGATGTGAGCACCCTTTAAGAATTAGGGGATGGCTTACTCAGCAACTCCTTTCTTCCAATCAAAAAGAGTTTCTGCTCACTGCATTTTATCATTGCTGCAGCTGTGACTTCTCTGATAACAAACATTTCCTAGTGACTTGTGGCACTCTTCCCAAAACAGCCTGAAATAAAGTCCTCATAAATAGTTAGGAATGTTCTCTGGCTGCTGCCTTGATATCTGCTCGTCTCCTTTCCAGTGTGTTAGCAAAAGAAGTGTGATTTGAACTTTGTGTTTTCACCCTTCCCTTTCAGGTAGCTAAAAAACAGAAGAAGGAGCAGCAGAGGCTGGAGAAGAAGAAGCGGCAGGAGGAGAGGCACCAGCAGAAGGTCTTGGCCAGGAAGAACAACTGTGCAGACAACAGGACAGAGACAGACCCCACCAACCACATCACCTTGGTGAAGACCATGGCAGCCCTAAACATATGACTGAGTGTGTGCTGAGTACTCTGGGGAGAAAAGCAAATAAAACTGATGAAGACAAAACTCCCCCTGAGCAAATTTCCAGGCACCCTTTGTTACCCTAAAATCGGTTTCTGCGGAGGTTTTCAAGGACAAGAGAAATTTCTGTTCCTTTGGTTGCGGGGAGGACAGTTACTCAGTGATTCTGCATCAACCTGTGTGTGAGAAGAGTTGTTTGAACTTAAAAAGTAGAGACTTGGGTTTGTAATTTTGGAGTTAGATGAAGGTGAGAAGATTTTTTTCACATAGCAGTGTCACATTTGCTTTGACATCTCTTGATGTGCCTGGATTTTTTTTTTTTTTTACTTGCTTATGCTTGGAAAAGCTTTATTTTACCTTTCTGTCAGGGAAAGCTTAACAAATCTCAACTCAGGAACAACTTTGGTGGGGTTTTTTCTATTTAAATTTAAATGAAGTGAATGAAGTCTCAGAATCCTTTCCAAAGCAAAGTGTGTCAGCCAGGACTGTCTCAAACATGACATTCCTCTTTTCTTTGCCAGGCAGGAATGAAGTGACAAGTTTTAATCTCACTAGAACTGTTGGCCCTCGTTCAGAAGCGATTAATACGTAAAGGGAGAATGGGATTGCTGCATCCATGCTTGCTGAAGTTTGGGACCAGCTCCTTTGCTACCTGAGACCTGTAGAGAGACATAAACCCACCCAAAATAGTAATACCAGTGCAGAGCCAACTCATCTGATCTGGTGATGGTTGATGAGGCTGTAAAATGTGACAGGAGCAGGCAGGAGATTTCTGGTGAGCGTTGTTACTTGGACACCTGGAATCTCATCCCCTTTGTCATATTTTGGAGCTTTTGGGCTACTCCAGAGCTTTAGTCCAAGATAGGAACTTGATAGGCGTTAGTCTCCAAATTACATTAGTGTAGCTAAAGGAACAAGAGTCCTGGGAACAAGCTTCCAAGCAGCAGTACTCCCTGGGAAACCTGCCTGTTTCACTTCATAAATCAACCTTTTTCCAGGGTAGAATTTTTCCATCTTAAATTCCATTTTGGTGAGGTCACCAAGTAGGATGTACAGCTTGACTCCAGTGATAATTTCCACTGTAGGACTGAGGATTTGGACCAAGGTTTTCACCTTGGACTGTGGGATTCAGCTCTGGATTTATGGCTCCCAGTGTTTCAGCATTACTCAGGTTTTTGGATTTGTGACGAGCACTAAGCTTGAAGAAAGCACACATGCACTTACACAACAGCAGGAGACACCTCATCAGCCAGGGCAGAGGTGAAGGGGATTTTTTGAAAGTAAGGAACGTTGCTTTTGAAAAAAAAATAAATCTATGTGTGCTTTGAAGTTTATAAATCAGCATGAAAATATAAATGCCTTTTTTTACTGAACTGCCAAGAGCTGGTACATCGTGTGCTCTGCTGCTGTTAGTTGAAGAATAAAAAGAAGGCTCTCCTGTAAGAATTCCTGGTTTAGGAATTCCTTTTCTCCAAGACAATAAGTTTTACAGTAGTGGAAAGAGAGGCAACTCACAGCTTAGTGGGGAGGAAGTGCAAATCACTTCAGTGTGTGATCAGTTGTGACAGTAGGTGTAGCAAGGCAGTTCAGGTACGTGTATCACCTGTGTCCTGCCCAGCTGTATTTTGGTTTGAAATGCAGATGGGTTCTGCAGGTTTGAAAAAATAAGAAAGAATTTGCAGTTGTACACTTGGAATAAGAGGTGTGATCTTAATGAATTGCTTTTTTGTCCTCCTGAGCTAGAGCTGATAAAAGGATCATTGTTTCTTGGAGCCTGAGAGCTGTGAAGGGAGGTGTCCTGACGGCTGAGCTTCTGTAGGTGTGGAGGGAACTCAAACCTCATCCCATTGTGTCCAGGATGAAAGGGCAGTTCTGCACCAGCAGCACAAAAAGCAGAGAGAGAGGCTGGTGAGCAACTCATGGCCACCAATATCTGGAACCAAATCTGGAGCTGAAAATGCTTTCGTTTCCAAGTGTAATATGATTAAAATAAACTCTTAGTGTGCTGGGTTCTTAAATCATGATAGAGCAGTCAAATTCCCTTTTCTGCCAAATTCCCTATTTCTGCCAGGATAGCTTTGTGCCTGCACAACCACTGTGTATCAAAAGATGTTAAAACTTATTTTATCTGTTTTAAATTTTCCTGTTGAAGTTTCCACCTTCCCAATCTGTAATTTTTTTTTTTCTAGGGAATCTTTATGCAACATTCCTCATGGAACTCACTTTTATGTAGAGAATTTGCTTTGTAAACAGGTCATGGCTTTTCCTTGCAGGAGGAAGGGGAGGCAAGAAACAAGAGCAGAGGCACATCATGATTCATAGCTCGTGTTTACTTGTTGGTGGAACTTCGTAATCCATGGTCCAAGAATGGACAGTAAGCACTGGATATTCCCTTGAGATCTGAGGAGGATGACTCTTTGTTATTAGCTGCTGGCTGACATCTCTGAGGGTGTTTTGGCTGCTGCTGGATCAGCAGTGGGGTTACCATCAGGCTCTCAAGGGCGACTGCACAGCAGGATGATGTAGCACAGCCACTTTCCCTGCATCCTATCTACCTACATAATGTTCCCTTGGCTTATTTTTCCCAAATCCTGCAGATCAGGAGTTCAGTTGAACTGGAAGTTTTAAGCATTTAGCCAGGTTTTGGATGACCTCCATAAGTGTTTCTATGTATGGGAGAGTTTTCTGCCTCTGCTGCTCCATGTCTCCCATCCTTTTTTCCTTCTTGGGAGCTTCCTGTTGGTTATCTCACAGCTTTGCCATGACATTCATGGTATCCACATCTGCACAGCTTCAGGAACTGCAGAACAGGAGGGAAACTGTGCATGAAAAGCATTCCATACTCCAGTGTTGGATACAAGAGAGATGATTTGTGCTGGTGTTGAGCTGTGGGGACTTTCCTTGGTGCTGCCTGGTTGCAGGAACCAGCCTTAGAGGGCAGCATTGGCTCTGTCCCAGCTCTTCTCTCAAAATCCTTTAGTGGCTATAGGAAATGAGTAGAAACGAGTGGTTTGGAGTTATAAAGATACCACATGTACTGTGGGAATGTGAGGGTGGGGTGGGGGTGTTGCTTGTGATGAAACACTGGAGTCAGGCAGGAGCCTCCTGGTGCTGAGGTGAAACTCAAAGAAATTACCCTTAAAACTCCTTTATTTTAAGCAGAACGCATCTCCAGAGGAAGCCTTAAAGCTAGAAGTACCTCCATCAAGGCTTGGGGCTGTGGGACAGCCAGCCCTGGCTTGTTAGAGATAATTAGGGCTTATTTGGGATCATGTGCAGTTCTGGTGAGGGATGAGGTAGCTGCAGCGAGTGGCAACCTGAGGAGACCTGTCTGGACTTGCTGGAGATGGGGTGCAAGAAAAGGTCACGCTAAACCCCTGAGACTCCACCACTGAACTCCCCCATTCCTGCAGTGATGTTAATTGCTTAAATGGTCATTAGGAACAGGATGGGGCTGGATTGAGGCCAAGCTCTCAGAGGGAAGCTGGGGTTGGAGCCTGGTTTAGGGTGCAGCAGCCACTCACTCTTTCTGTGGTCTTTTTTTTTTTTTTTTTTCTCTGTAGCTCTTAAGATTTCCTAGTTGGTTGCTAAAATGTCACTTCTGGTCAATTTTTTAAGAAAAAGATGCAAAACATTGTGCAGGCATAAATATTGACTTCAGAAAAACAATTCTGAGGCTCCATGCTGCTTCCTAGCCTTCCACCATTGATTCCCAAAACACAACCCTGGAGATGCTTTACAAATTTCCTTTGAAAATGTATCTTTATATGTAGGGTTTCCATTTTTATGAGTTGTTTAATCATGGGGAGCAGGTTTTCCATGTGCACTGACTCCAGGGAAAGGTGCTAGACGCCTTTTTGGTGCCGCAGGGCTCTGCCGTGTCCTGCCTGGCTGCAGGGAACGCTGAACTCCCACCATTTCCATGGACTCTGTCGGGTTTTGACCCTGGTGTGTTTAGCAGGAGGGTGCTCGGCCCTTGCACTTAAAGTTGGGATAATTCTTGTAAGAATTGTGGTAGGTCCCAGCTGCCCTCTGGAAACACTCAGCTGCCTTCTTGTCGCATGCACAGGTCGCTGTTTGGCACTGGTTCCCGGTTCCTGGAAGAAAATTTGGGGGGCATGGAGGCAGGCAAAGGGTGGGAGAGTCACAGGGTGTTTTTTGGACCATCCCTACTGCATACGCAGCCCCCTGGGTTAAATTTGGGGTGTCTCAGGTACTCTCACCTCTGGTGTGTGGAGCTACCTAGCCCTGGAGGGACCCTTTAATTCACTTTATCCCTGGGGTGTGTGCGGATAGTTGCTTGGATCATAGGGATATGCTTTGTTTTGGTCTGTGAAATAATGTGTTGGCTTTGGGGGAATCGAGGTGGCTGTACCAGGTCCCTGTCCAGGATGGGAAGGTCACCTCAGACCCTCAGTATTTGGCCTGTAGGGAAGGACAAGGCCCCTCCTTAGGGAGGTGTCCAAGCTCTAAACTTCACCATAATCCAGCAAATATTTATTTGCCCTGTTCCTGGCACTTTCCCTGTATTTCCACCTCCTTTGCTCTGAGTGGTTGCCAGGCCAGGATGGTCTAAAGGACACCTTGGAATACAAGCATGGATGGTATGTGCCTTCCCACTTGGAGCTTTGCCCCTGTACCAGCTCTGACCGCAGGTTATTTGGCTTCCCTGGAGGAAGTATTTGTAGGTGACCACTTTGGAACTGCAGTGTGAGGAAGCCAACTTCTTATAGCAGCAATTGTGGGCATGGCAGCACCTGAGAGCACAGAAGCCGTGGTCAAGTCAGGATGGGGGACAGTTGGGACAACCCTACATTGGTTGAACTTCAACGACGCGCATCGTTCCCATTGGCTACTGCTGCTAAAATGCTTTTAGAGAGGTTTTAAAGACGAGCAACAATTTTCTCATTGCTCTCTGCTCCCAGAAGCAGGGCAAGATTCCCCTCGCTGTACCCAGGGATGTGGGGAGGGCTGGGACACCTGCTCTGCCTTTACCAGGTCCCAGCTTACCTGTCAGTGGCATCCAGGGGCTTTTTGGATCCCCCCAAGCCGCAATAACAGCCGTAATCATTGTAAGACAGCAGAGATTTCCCGGTCTTGTGCTTAATCATCACTCCAAACTGGAGCACGTTGCAGCTGGCGAGGGCCAGTCCTACAACTGGAGAAGTTGTTTAGGAGCACTGGAAAAAGCAACCTCCCATCCTACCCTTCCACAGCAAAAATGAGCATTTTCACCCTTCCTGTCTCCATGGACAGAACCCGTGAGCACCAGACTTTCCTGGACGATGGGAGCTGGCAGGGGGTTACTCACAGAAGAGGAAAAGTGAGAAGAGCTTCATGTCTGGTAGTGGCAGCTCCAGGGTTTGGTGAACCTGACGTGCTGCCGGTCACACCTTTTATAGTCACTGTGTACCTTTGGCAAGGCCCCTCCTTTGGAGGGCACATATTGACAATCTTCACCATATTGCTCTTGCTACGTGTGCAAGTCCCTTGGCGCTGCTGGAGGTCCCAGCTGTGGGCTGCCTTATACTGCTGGAGCCCTTGGCAGGGGAGGGTTTGGTGGACTGGCATGAGTAGGGTAGACTGGGGTCAGCTCCATGCATGGCTCTGGGTATCTCAGCATCTCAGTGCCTCCCTGAGCAAAATGGGAGAACCTGAGGGAGAATAGGAACCACTTAGTTGAAGATCTCCCTGCCCATGGCAGGGGGTGGAATGAGATGAGCTTTAAAGTCCCTTCCAATTCAAACCATTCTGTGATCCCATGATTCACTTTCTTCCTGGATGCCTATATTAGTTTTTTGATGTCTTGGCTAGAAAACACCATTCTATGTCTTAGTGTTTCCATCCTGACTTGACTGGGCAGGGAAAAAAGGCAGCCAGTGCAAAGCATCCTCCCCTTCTGACCTACCAGAGTGAGTGAGATGCAACACTGGGAGCAAAGGAAGATCCTGTGGCCCTCCAGAATGGCTGTGGCTGGAGATAGGGCTGAGCTGAGGCCACATACGGTGGGGGTTTTTGGTAGTGGGGACTTCTGAGGTCCCAAATGCCCCTTGCACATGGGGATGCTCTGTCCCTCTCCCTGTGTATGCTGGGCACTGTGTTTTGCTCTCAAAAAGATGAGCCCATGGCATGAGGTGTCTAGCTCACCTTTGTTTAGAAGCAAAAGAAGGCAAGTGGCAGCATAAGGGGAAAAAAATGCAAGTTTAAGGGAAGGGGAAAAAGAGAGGCTGGTTGTCATTTGCTCTGAGAGAATCTCTAATTAAATAGATGATGCTGAACAATCATTTAGCAGACTTCTTCTGTCAGATATTGCAAGTGCCCAGTGCTCTGTGCTGCTTTTTGGAGAACCCCAGCATGGGCAGGCACTGAGGCAGGGGAGGAAATCCCCCCGTGGCTGGTAGGGAAACTGAGGCAGAGAACAGGGACTTGTGTGGGAATCAGAGAGGTGGTGAGAAAAGGGAACTTGGCTCAGCACCATCTGTTCCTCCTTCTGGCATGAGATGTTTGTCTCATCAGCTCTCCGGGCTAATTTAAGCAGACCCCTTGGACATCATTGAGTTAATGACCTGAACCAGGGGTTGCCATAATTCAGGATTTTCCGAGTCTACAACCAGTTTTATCACTGAGAAATAAGGTATATTCTTATCAAACTGGCTGAGCCTCACGTGAAAGCCTCTTCACCCCAGCCCCTCTACCTGTGCCAGGTTTGCAGTATCCCTTCTCCAAAAGGGAAATAAGCCCCAACAGGGCCAAATGCCTCCTGGAAGGATGTGGATTTTGTTTCACAGTACAAACCCACAACTTTTCCAACCCAATTTATTGCCATGTGTCTGAGCCCACACATCAGCACTTGGAGCTCCGTATGAATGGATTTTTACAGCCAGACCTCCAAGCAGGAAAATATATGGATAGTTAAAATTCACCCAGAGTGTACAAAGGGAGAGTTTATCTTGGCCTGAAATCTGTCTGGGATATCCTGTAGGTGAGGATTTGATCCTTGATTTGTGCCTTGCAAACAGCAGCTGCTGGGTGAAGGGCCGCCCACTCTTTCCTCATCTCCCCAGGATTACGTGGTGCTGGAGGAGGAAAAGGAGGGTGGAGGGGCCTGATTCCTGGGTGACAGCTGGTGGGAAGCATCACTGATGTAAGGGATATTGCCTGGCCCCATTGACTTCAGCTTTGGGGCAAGCCAGGAAGGGAACTCCAGCTGGGCATCAGCCCCTGGGGAAATAGTGTTTTGTTGCTGTTTCTGTGGCTTTATTTCATTGCAGAGCCCCAAGGGGGTTCGGAGCACTGAGACCTCCTGGGGCCAACCCTGCGGGGCACAAAACATGTGCAGTGGGGAGGTTTTTTCCTGAGGGATCTGCTCAGGGTTGTTGCAGAATCGGGCCAAAACATTCTTTTCTGGTGAGAAGTCTGTTTTGCTCGTCGCTGGTGTGAGGCAAGCTCCAGGCCACCCCGGCACAGGGTGTTCAGGGAATCTTAGAATATCCCGAGCTGGAAGGGACTCACAAGGATCATTGACCTCCAAGCCCTTCCACCCGCTTCCACTTCTCCATCTCAGAAAAAAAATGGACATTTTCAGAGTCTGAAGGCTTGGGGCTAAGTGGGACAGTTCAGAGGTGCAGCTGCACCTCGGTGGGAATTGTGTCACCTCTCAGGTGTAATTTTTTCCAGGTATTTCAACAGGAAACCTGTCTAAGAGGCGAGGGGTGGTCTCTGGGCTCAGCTGAGTCACAGCACACTGAGAACTGCTGCCTTGGGCTCTCTGTTTTTATTTGGAGCAACAGAAGGTGAAGCAAGAAGCGAAGAGAGCGGACAGGCTGTGGGGGAGCCGGAGCCAAGGGGAGACACTCCCGCTGGTTCCCTGTGCCCCTCACAGGGACGAGGGGCAGGTGTCCACTCCTCCCTTTTTTTGCTGTGCTGAAATATCGCGTCAGCGCTGCTCCCCCTCCTCAGATCCAGTGGACACTGACGCAAGTTCACCGGAGGGTTGTTGTCCTCGTGCCAAAGCCAAAAAGCCCCGAGGAGGAGACTCGCCAGGGCTGGGAAGCACTGCTGGCGCCGTCCCTTCGCGGATCAGCCCGGAGGTGGTTTTGCAAAGGGAATTTTTTGCTTCAACACCTCCCGGCTCGTCCCCGGCACTTGATGCGGCGCCGGAGCAGCCTCTGGCCGCGCATCCGGCACAGCAGAGCCGCCCGCTCGCACCTGCAGGCACTTCTCTGGCACCACGTCCCCGACCCTGCAGGGACCGCACAGTACACCTGAGACCTTCATTTGGGCGTATCTCCCGGGGGCTGCCCAAAAAAGGACACCACAAGAGAGGGAGATGGTCTGGAAAGGGGCATCCCAAGGCAAGGGGGTGAGGACTCACTGCACGTGGAGATTCCTGCCTGGGGTGCTGAGAGGGGCTGGACGGGTCCCACGGGGCACCGCCGAGCCGCCAGCTTGGCATAGCAACAGGCACGGAGCCGGCAGCACCTGCAGGGAGAAGGAGAGCCTGGACTCATCGGGAATGTGGCACCGGCTGCTTCTGACCTACCTGACACAGGCTCTGCGAGCTGGGCAGGAAGAGCCACCAGCTTTGCATCCTCTGCTCCGAATTGCCCAGCAGCTGCTCTTTCCAGCCCTTCCCATGCCTCTTCTTCCCTGCACAAGCCCTGCCCAGCATCCTGGCTCAGGACCATCCCTCTCCACTGGTGCCATCCCATGAATCAGGCAGTTGTCGCTGCACCACCCTACTGACTGCGGGGCTGGAATTAGGGGTGAGCACTGAGCTTTCCCTGCTTCCCAAAAACCTGTTCCCTTCCTGCTACTGCCCAGTACCTGGTCTGCACTTTGCAAAGCTTCGGGGTGGGCTGAGGGGGTTGTGCACAGCCCTGGGGTTACCCCAGGGCCAGCATTAGCCCTCTGGGGTCAGTGCCTGGGGCAGCGTTGCCTGTACCGGTCCAATGAAGCCCTTGAGGTGCCCCATCCCGAGTAGCATCCGTGGGCAGTCAGATTTCCTACAGTGCTTCCCTCGAGTCCCGGTATGAAGGTACGTGGGTGCTTCCCATGAGCTGTGAACACACCTGGAGTGGCCAGAAAAAGTGATATTTTTTGTAAGTTATATGCAGAAATGAGGCCTGGGGAACGAGGGAGGAGAGGAGTGAGTCCCCCTGAGGAGTGCACAGGAGTTTGGGGATGCACATTGGCACAGGGATGGGGCCTGGCTCCTGTCTGTGTGGGTCGGGGGTGCACTTACTGCAGGCAAACAGCATTGTCAGCACCAGCAGGACCTTCATTTTCCTCTCACCTGGGCCTGGGAGGAAAAACAGGGGACAGGCTCAGCCAGGCAGCTTGGCTGGTGCTGCCATGCATACCTTCCTCTCTAAAATTGGGTCAAATCACCCTAAAATTTGGAATGAAGAAAGCAGCTGGGGCTCCTCACATTTGTTTTGCTGCCTCTTGGCTGACAGCAAGTGGTTTCTGAGGCTGTTCCACCACCTGAGCATCCCCACCCCGTTTCCCACCACCTCAATAGCCCCCACCTCCTGTCCCACCACCGAAGCACAGTCCTCATGTCCACTACGCCAGCAGTTCCCACCCCCTATCCCACCACCTAAGCATGTCCCACCACCTGTCCCACCTCCTGTCCCACCACTTTTGACACTTCTCCCCCGTGGTCCAACGTCCCAACTGCGTTTTTATCTGGGAACAATGACACTTTTCCTACACTTTTCTTCCCTCCCAGTAGAAGGCAGCGTTCCCGATGTCCTCCCGACATCCCCCCCTATTTTTGTTTCCATGGCAGGGGGGTGGGGAGGGGGCACTTGCTCACCGGGGGATCTCCCTCGCTGTCAGCCCGTCCTCCCGAGGAAAGCCTGCCCTCCGTATCTGGCCTGCGGGCTCTGAACTGAAAGCGCCGAAATTACTCCTCTGTTCGAAAAACACCAAGTGCTACGCCCCTTCCCTCACCGGCCAACCCCCCTCGCCCCGTGGGCTGCAACCCGGAGTGACGCAGGGCCCGAGTTCTTGGAAAGTTTTGAGAAGATGTTGATTATTTACAGGGATTTCTCTCCCTGCCCAGCAGCAGCAGCAGCTCTCAGAGGACAGGGTGGTTTAAGCACGTTGTTTATTTTCATGTTACTTAAATTTACAGCAGTACAGGCAGGAATGCATGGAGCTCCAAATTTCGACCCCTATCACCTGCACAGGTAATTGGGATAGAACTGGTAGCGTTTCCTGTAGCTCCTGACGTTTCTCTTCAGGCACAGTGCCAGGCTGCGGTCACACTCACAGGAGAGCTGAGCACACCAGGAGTCCTTTCCTGTGGGAAGAGGAGAGCCCAGGGTCAGACCTGGCTTTAGGATGGGCTAACACCCCCTTTTCCTGGGTCCTACTCACTGCAGGAGGGGCTGCTGTGGTGCCCCTTGTAGTGGTAGCTCTGCTTCTTGGCGTCACAGTCGTGGCTCAGGAGGCTGAGGTAGCAGGTATCGTGTAGCTGGCAGCACCTGCAGGGGAGATCAAAACTTTAGGGATTGGGCTTTTCCCTCCCTCACTCCTCACATTTGAAAATATTCAAGGATGTGTTCAGACAGGGGGATTTTAGGTGGGTTCTCACCTGTCTGAGGCGTCCTTGGGCTGCCCCTTGCCCCCCAGGCCGCAGTAGCAGCCATAGAAGGCATAGTGCAGCAAAGCGTTTTTCCCTGTCGCCTCCGTGATCATGTTGTGCAGCTGCAAGAGGCTCCCATGGGCTGGGGACAAGCCTGGGGAAGGAAAATCAGGAGGATCATGCTGATTCCCAGCCCCCTCGCAGCATCTCCATCCCTCCAGCCCCCGAACTGGCACCAGGGTGGTGATGTCTTAGAAATTATAAGACAGTGGAGAGGGAATTTGTTCCCAGCTTGGTGCAGGAGAGATGTTGCATATTTGGGAGGGGTGGTGATGGGAAAAGGTGAAGAAATCACCAGCATGGTTCTAATTTCCACAGATGTAACTGCACAGGGAGCCATGGGACTGGTGGGACTGAGGACACTTACGCCAAGCAAACAGCACAGAGAGGCCCAGGAGACAATTCATCCTTCTGACAGCCCTGGGAGAAGAAACCAAACCAAACCCTGTTATACCAAAACCAAACCATTCCCTGCTACCCTTCTTTCTTTCTCTCCTCATCTGGGAACAGAGATTCTCCCCCTCTCTATGGACTAGAGAAAATGAGGGCGGTGAAGATGCACCCATTGCTTCAGCACAAAGCACTAGGGAGGGAAAGTCACGGGAATCGGATGGTGCAGTGGTGGAAAAAAGCAAAATGAAGAGAAAGGGAGAAAAGTTGGAGGAATTATCAGCCCTCGAGGGCTGCACCCACTGCTCTTCCTCCAGGCTGGCATCTCAGGTAGCATCTCCTTTGCTCCTGCTTTCACAGCATGGATTTTGCTCCCATCTTACTTCTGGTTAAAGCAGAAAAGAGAGAGAAAGCATTCCTCTATCCTCACTTACCTTGGGAAAGTTGCTGCTGGCTTGCAATGCCCTGCAGTCAGCTGGGCTTGCTTTATATAGGGTTTGCTCCCATCTGTTTGGGGCTCCTTTGACTCAAATGTTGCTGACTGGGCTTTTCTGCAAAGGAGAAGGCGCCATCCTTCCACTTTACAGGAACGTCAGAAATCCCCCCAACGCCCCAGCTCTGTACCTCACACACGGGGGCTGGTGCTGGGTGGGATGAGGTGGCAAAGCATCGTCACTTCCAGCCTGAGGAGGAAGCCAACATGCCCTAATCCTGGTCAGAAATGCCTGAAGATCTTTTACTTTGTCCTTCCCAGCACCACGGAGCTGTATCGGGGGAAAGAACAACCCTGGTTCAGCCTAGGCAGGAATGAAGCATGTTTGGGATTTTCAAGGGGGTGTACAGTTTGGGAACTGACTCTCTGCAAAACTGGTTCAGGGTAAGTTGTCAGTTGTTTGGGGAAAGTCTGTGGGCAAACTGAAAGTATCTCTAAATGTGCAGTTCCCGGAGACATGAGGTCAGGCAGACACTGGATGATTAAACCCTCCCTCACTGTGAGAAAAAAAATTAATCAAAATGAATGTTTTTTGGTGAGCAAATGCAACTTCCCTTATTTTATTCTGGATGATTTTTCCACACCCTCATTACAGCTCTTCTGCAGAAACTATTCAGTCACCAACTGCCCTCCTAAATTAGCATCCACCTAATTTATCTGGTCATGGTTTTGAAATCTTCCCTCCTCTGTGGATGGCTATTCTTTAGCCTTAATTTTCGTATAATCCCATAATGGTTTGGGTTGGAAGGGACCTTAAAGCTTATCTCGTTCCATGGGCAGGGACACCTTCCACTATCCTAAGTTGCTCCACATTGGGGTAGGCCTGTGAATTACAGCCCTATTGGGACCATGGAAGTATTGGGATGTTGGGCAGAGGGTGTGGCTGAGGTGTGGGATGCAAAAGTGCTCCCCAAACTCGGCAGCCACCATTGCAGTGCCTCAATCTCAGTGGCCCTTACAGAAAAACACCACAGAATCAGTTTGCATTCCTTTTATTGTAGGTCTTTGTTATCTTTGCTGGGAAATGAAATCAAGGGAGGAGGAAGGGACAAAAAAGAGGACGTTGGTGTGTCTTTCTGAGAACTGGGGGGTCTCCATTCATGATGTGTGTCCTTCCTCACCCTGAACACCTTGCAGGGAGTCTCGTGGGCTCTGCTGCTGCTCAGCCCCCACCCCAGGCTTTTCTTGCCACAGCAGTGGGGGAAACCAGACAAAATCTGGAGCTCTGTGTGCAGATTCCCCTTCTTCAGCATTGGAGCTTTCCTCCTTGGCATTTCAGCTTGAAGTAGAAGCGGTAGGAATGACTGTACGAAGGCAGAGTGCTCGCAAAGCACAAGGCCACTGCCTTGTCACACAGGCAAGTCTCTCTCTCGCACCAGCTCTGCGTGTTACCTGAGGGGTGGAAATACAGTGTCCCTGTAGTGGCTTTTCTGGTGGAGCCCCCTCAGGACACCTCCAGTGACTGGAGCTTCCTGGGGGAAGTGGATGAAACAGTGTGTCCCAGTGCTTGCTCTCTCTGACCTGTTGCATCCCTTACAATGCCCATTTAATTATCAGACTTGGACAGGAATCAGGCTGGTTTCACCCCAGGGGTTGCCCTCCTGAGTGCCCTGCTCCAGGGATGGGGTATCATGGGGAGCAGTGCTGGTCCCCCACCTCCATGGAACCCCTGTTCTATACTCACTGCAGGTGATGTGTCTGTCATCAGTGGCGAAGGTGTACGGGGTGATCAAGGGGCTGCACTTGCCCTCCCTCACCCTCCTGTAGCAGCAGTCATGGGCTTGGCAGCACCTGTGGGGACACCACGTCAAACTGCGGCCCCCCAACCCTCCCTCACCACACCTGGAGGGTAAAGGAAGGTCCAGCCTCAAATTTAAGGTGACTGAGAGGAGGGGATTGTCAGGCAGCAGCAGGACATGGCTGGGGAATGGGGCGGACTCCCCAGAGCACAGGAGCTGCAAGGGAGGGGCTTTTTAGGGACTGCCCTTCACTGGGGGTGGTGAGTGGTGATGCTGTTCCAGATACTCACCGGTCGGTGGGATCCACGGGGGTCCCTCTGCCCCCGATGCCGCAGAAACACCCATACCAGCTGTAGGAGAGCAGGGCACTCTTCCCTGTGGTCGACCTGATCATCCGCTCCAGCTCCAGGATGCTGGTGCCAGCTGGGAGCAGCCCTGTGGAGAGGCAGAGCTTGTGCCAGTGCAGCGTGGGGAAGCTGGCAGGGAATTAAATAAGTCTGGCATTGCTAGAAACACACTTTCAGGAATTTGAACCATGAGGAGCCCTAACACCCCCCAAGGATTATAGAATCATAGAATTCCAGAGTGGTTTGGGAGTGAAGGGACCTTAAAGCCCATCTCATTCCACCCCCTGCCATGGGCAGGGACACCTTCCACTAGACCAGGTTGCTCCAAGCCTCATCCAGCCTGGCCTTGAACACTTCCAGGGATGAGGCAGCCAGAGCTTCTCTGGGCAACCTGTGCCAGGGCCTCACCACCTAAACAGGGAAAATGTCTGGCTTCTGCACCCCCTTGATTCAGTCGGGCAGAAGGTATTGCTCTCTGGTCAGGCAAACCCGCAAGCCATGCTGCAAACAGCAATCCCCCATCACCAGGATCAGCCATGGGCTTGGCACAGGCAGGAAATGTTCCAGCAATCTCCAGGGCGCCATAAAATAAATATGGATCTGGGCATCCCAAAGCCTCCCCGTCACAAAGCCCTCCAGGACTCCAGCAGTGCCACACCAAGTGTTGGAGTGAAACCACAAAATTTAAACAAAACCCTGAATTGTTTCCAAATCCTGAGGTTGGCAGGTGGATCCCGGTGTGTCCTGGGGACAGCGGGGCACTTACCACAAGCCAGGAGCACAGCAAGAAGGAGACTCCTCATCCTGGGGCTGCTCTGGAGAGGGAACAGCAAAGGTGGGCGATGAACCAGGGGCAGGACAGGAACTCCCCCAGTGCCCACACCAAGGGCATGGAACCGGTTGGTTGGCAATGCCTCATGGTGACATTCGTGTCACTATGGATTCACAGCCTTGTGAAGGCATCACCATGTCCCTATGACTCCTCATGGGGCCTTTAGCCTGGATTTGGGATGCAGCGCTTGTCACGGACATGGTGGCTGATCCTGCCTGGGGCTGATGAAGCAGCTCTCTATTCGCTGCCTCCCCCCACCACCCCTGAGCTACCAGATGAGTAATAGGGCAATAAAGTCCCACTCTCCTTACCCCTCCTGGACGTGCAGCTCTGATGCCACTGGCTCAGAGGGTTTGGTTTTTATAGCTGGCCAGGCCCACCCCCTCCTTTATCTGCACTGTCATCCCAAACTGGGCTTACCTGGAGCAGGGAGCATGTTCCCATCCTTCTCCTTCCCAAAAATCATTAGTTGCCCCAAGCAGTGAGCACCAACATTCCCTCCATCTGCTCATCACTGGGTGTGAGGCCATCTCCATACCTGCATGAAGCCAGTCAAGGCCTTCGGCACAGTTTTAAAATCAGTGGGATCTAGTGGCTGGAGCAGTGGGATAAAAGTGATTTACATCGGGGCTGGCACCTTAGAGGTTGTTGAATCCTTGTTCCAGCTGCAGAGATGGCACTTTGGGCTCAGTGTTGTCTCAAGTGAGATTTTGCCAATTCACACCTTGAAGCTTCAGAGGTGTTTTCTCTTGGCTCCTTCCTTGCAATTGTCTCCTCAGATCCATGGCTGCATCCAAATCCAGCCTCACTGAATCACAAAGGGGAGGCGAAGGGAAGACAGCCAACACCAGAAGTGCAATTCCTGGGTCTGCAGTTTTCCTGTCCTGTCCTCTGTGGTTTTCCCATCTGCCCAGAGTGTGTGGGCAAGGGGTCTGAGAAATTAAATCATGAGCAGCAAAGGCTGGAAAAGCCATGGAAACCTGACTTGGAATGCTTGGGGTATACAGTTTATTTAATAACCATAACTGAAACATGATACAGAGAGAGGGGGGGAGGCAGAAAACCAGAGGAGATAAGGAACAAAAGCTGCTGGTTTTCCCCTGAAACCGTGGGGCCAAGTGCAAACATAGACACAAATACAGGTATCTGGTGATATGCAGGGCTCCACCCTCAGGGATTAACCTGGGGGAGGGGAATTCGGAGTTGAGAATTGTAAGGAAATGACTTAGGGGTCTGGAGTCAAGAAGAAAAAACTCTGTGGAATTTCTTGAGAAGCCACCAAAGCTGTCGCTGGAAGGGACGTCACCTCCTGACTGTTCTCCAAGGGGGCAGAGATGTCTGTCTCGGGGCTTTGCTTCCCTCTAACCCTTAATTTTCTGCTGCAAGTGGAACAAAAACTCGTCCAAGCCCATTAAGAATGGGGAGCAACACCTCACCCACCTCCTTACTCGGCATCTGCACAAGAAACCATCCCAAAACGCCACAGTGACAATCTGACAGCCAAACCTCTGCTTTCCTCACCTCACTTCTAAAACCAAGGCACTCTCTAGTAATTAATTGATCCCTTTCCCTCCTCCTCCACAAACGCTTCCATTACAGAAGGACTCCCCAGGTGGTGTTCGTTGGCTGTGCTATTTGTGTTTTAGCATTGCAGGTCCTTGGTTTTGGGGGAAAGACCTGAGTTTTTGCTGTAGAGTTTGGATAAACCTGCATGAAAAGCATAATCTGAGGGCCTAATTGAGAACAGGGATCCTGTGGATTTGGGATCCACACATGGTTTTAACCAAATCC